TTCCCTAATACAGGAAAGGAAATAGTTAATCAGGTCCAGGAAGCACAGAGAGTCCCATACAGGATAAATCCAAGGAGAAACATGCCAGGACACATATTAATCAAACTATCAAAAATTAAATACAAAGAAAAAAATATTAAAAGCAGCAAGGGAAAAACAACAAATAACACACAAGTGAATCCCCATAAGGTTAACAGCTGACCTTTCAGCAGAAACTCTGCAAGCCAGAAGGGAGTGGCAGGACATATTTAAAGTGATGAAAAGGAAAAAACTACAACGAAGATTACTCTACCCAGCAAGGATCTCATTCAGATTTGATGGAGAAATTAAAACCTTTACAGACAAGCAAAAGCTGAGAGAATTCAACACGACCAAACCAGCTTTACAGCAAATGCTAAAGGAACTTCTCTATGCAGGAAACACAAGAAAAGGAAAAGACCTACAATAACAAACCCAAAACAATTAAGAAAATGGGAATAGGAAGATACATATCAATAATTACCTTAAATGCAAATGGATTAAATGCTCCAACCAAAAGACATAGATTGGCTGAATGGATACAAAACAAGACCCATTTATATGCTGTCTACAATAGACTCACTTCAGACCTAGGGACACGTACAGACTGAAAGTGAGGGTATGGAAAAAGATATTCCATGCAAATGGAAATCAAAAGAATGCTGGAGTAGAAATTCTCATATCAGACAAAATAGACTTTAAAATAAAGACTATTACAAGAGACAAAGAAGGACACTACATAATGATCAAGAGATTAATCCAAGAAGAAGATATAACAATTGTAAATATTTATGCAACCAACATAGGAGCACCTCAATACATAAGGCAAATGCTGACAGCCATAAAAGGGGAAATTGACAGTAACACAATCATACTAGGGGACTTTAACACCCCCCTTTCACCAGTGGAAAGATCAATCAAAATGAAAATAAATAAGGAAACACAAGCTTTACATGATACATTAAACAAGATGGACTTAATTTTTATAGGACATTCCATCCAAAAACAAGAGAATACACTTTCTTCTCAAGTGCTCACGGAACATTCTCCAGGATAGATCATATCTTGGGTCACAAATCAAGCCTTGGTAAATTTAAGAAAATTGAAATCGTATGAAGTATCTTTTCCGAACACAATGCTATGAGACTAGATATCAATTACAGGGAAACATCTGTAAGAAATACAAACACATGGACACTAAACAATACACTACTGAATAAACAAGAGATCACTGAAGAAATCAAAGAGGAAATTAGAAAAATACCTAGAAACAAATGACAATGAAAACACGATGACCCAAAACCTTTGGGATGCAGCAAAATCCGTTCTAAGAGGGTAGATTATAGTCATACAATCCTACCTCTAGAGGCAAGAAACATCACAAATAAACAACCTAACCTTACACGTAAAGCAATTAGAGAATGAAGAACAACAACAAAACAAAGCAGAAGGAAAGAAATCATAAAGAGCAGATCAGAAATAAATGAAAAAGAAATGAAGAAATGATAGCAAAGATCAATAAAACTAAAAGCTGGTTCTTTGAGAAGGTAAACAAAATTGATAAACCATTAGCCAGACTCATCAAGAAAAAAAGGGAGAAGACTCAAATCAATAGAATTAGAAATGAAAAAGAAGTATCAACTGACACTGCAGAAATACAAAGGATCATGAGAGATTACTACAGTCAACTACATGCCAATAAAATGGACAACCTGGAAGAAATGGACAAATTCTTAGAAAAGCACAACCTTCGAAGACTGAACCAGGAAGAAATATAAAATATGAACAGACCAATCACAAGCAGTGAAATGGAAGCTGTGATTTAAAATCTTCCAACAAACAAAAGCCCAGGACCAGATGGCTTCACAGGCGAATTCTATCAAACATTTAGAGAAGAGCTAACACTCATCCTTCTCAAACTCTTCCAAAATACAGCAGAAGGAGGAAGAGTCCCAAACTCATCTACAAGGCCACCATCACTCTGATACCAAAACCAGACACAGATGTTACAAGAAAAGAAAACTACAGGCCTATATCACTGATGAATACAGATGCAAAAATCCTCAACAAAATACTAGCAAACAGAATCCAACAGCACATTAAAAGGATCATACACCATGATCAAGTGGGGTTTATTCCAGGAATGCAAGGATTCTTCAATATACGCAAATCTATCAATGTGATAAACCATATTAACAAATTGAAGGAGAAAAACCATATGATCATCTCAATAGATGCAGAGAAAGCTTTTGATAAAATTCAACACCCATTTATGATAAAAACCATCCAGGAAGTAGGCATAGAGGGAACTTTCCTCAACATAATAAAGGCCATATATGACAAACCCACAGCCAACATCGTCCTCAATGGTGAAAAACTGAAAGCATTTCCACTGATATCAGGAACAAGACAAGGTTGCTCACTCTCACCACTATTATTCAACATAGTTTTGGAAGTTTATCCACAGCAATCAGAGACAGAAAAGAAATAAAAGGAATCCAAATAAGAAAAGAAGAAGTAAAATTGTCAGTGTTTGCAGATGATACGATACTATACATAGAGAATCCTAAAACTGCTACAAGAAAAATACTAGAGCTAATCAATGAATTTGGTAAAGTAGCAGGATATAAAATTAATGCACAGAACTCTCTCATATTCCTATACACTATTGATGAAAACTGTGAAAGAGAAATTAAGGAAACACTCCCATTTACCACTGCAACAAAAAGAATAAAATACCTAGGAATAAACGTAGCTAAGGAGAAAAAAGACCTGTATGCGGTAAACTATAAGACACTGATGAAAGAAATTAAAGATCAAACAAACAGATGGAGATGCCATGTTCTTGGGTTGGAAGAATCAAAATGGTGAAAATAACTATACTACCCAAAACAATCTACAGATTCAATGCAATCCCTATCAAACTACCAATGGCATTTTTCACAGAACTAGAACAAAAAATTTCACAATTTGTAGGGAAACACAAAAGACTCCGATTGCCAAAGCAATCTTGAGAAAGAAAAATGGAGCTGGAGGAATCAGGCTCCCAGACTTAAGACTATACTACAAAGCTACAGTAATCAAGACAGTATGGTACTGGCACAAAAACAGAAAGATAGATCAATGGAACAGGATAGAAAGCCCAAAAATAAACCCATGCACATATGCTCACCTTTCTTTGATAAAGGAGGCAAGAATATACAATGGAGAAAAGACGGCCTCTTCAATAAGTGGTGCTGGGAAAACTGGACAGCTCCACTTAAAACAATGATATTAGAACGCTCCCTAACACCATACACACAAATAAACTCAAAATGCATTAAAGACCTAAATGTAAGGCCAGACACTATCAAACTCTTAGAGGAAAACATAGGCAGAACACTCTATGACATAAATCACAGCAAAATCCTTTTGGACCCACCTCCTAGAGTAATGGAAATAAAAACAAAAATAAACAAATGGGACCTAATGAAACTTCAAAGCTTTTGCACAGCAAAAGAAAACATAAACAAGATGAAAAGACAATCCTCAGAACGGGAGAAAATATTTGCAAATGAAGCAACTGATAAAGGTTAATCTCCAAAATATACAAGCAGCTCATGCACCTTAATATCAAAAAACAAAGAACCCAATCTCAAAATGGGCAGAAGGCCTAAATAGACATTTTTCCAAAGAAGATATACAGATTACCAACAAACACATGAAAGGATGCTCAACATCACTAATCATTAGAGCACTGCAAATCAAAACCATAGTGAGGTATCACCTCACACCAGTCAGAATGGCCATCATCAAAAAATCTACAAATAGTAAATGCTGGAGAGGGTGTGGAGAAAAGAGAACCCTCTTGCACTGTTGGTGGGAATGTAAATTGATACAGCCACTATGGAGAACAGAATGGAGGTTACTTAAAAAACTAAAAATAGAATTACCATACGACCCAGCAATCCCACTACTGGGCATATACCCTGAGAAAACCATAATTCAAAAAGAGTCATGTACCAAAATGTTCATTGCAGCTCTATTTACAATAGCCAGGACATGGAAGCAACCTAAGTGTCCATCGACAGGTGAATGGATAAAGAAAATGTGGCACATATATACAATGGAGTATTACTCAGCCACAAAAAGAAACGAAATTGAGTTATTTGTAGTGAGGTGGATGGACCTAGAGTCTGTCATACAGAGTGAAGTAAGCCAGAAAGAGAAAAACAAATACCATATGCTAACCCATGTATGTGGAATCTAAGAAAACAAAAAGGTTCTGAAGAACCTAGGGGCAGGAGAGGAATAAAGACACAGACGTAGCGAATGGACTTGAGGACATGGGGAGGGGGAAGGGTAAGTTGCGACGAAGTGAGAGAGTGGCATGGACATATATACAGTACCAAATCTAAAATAGATAGCTAGTGGGAAGCAGCCGCACAGCACAGGGAAATCAGCTCGGTTTTTGTTTTTTTTTGGTTTTTTTTTTTGCGGTACACGGGCCTCTCACTGTTGTGGCCTCTCCTGTTGCGGAGCACAGGATGTGCAGGCTCAGCGGCCATGGCTCATGGGGCCAGGCGCTCCGTGGCATGTGGGATCTTCCCGGACCGGGACACAAACCCGTGTCCCCTGCATCGGCAGGCGGACTCTCAACCACTGCACCACCAGGGAAGCCAAATAAAAAAATTTTTAAAAGTCACTTGATCACTTAGTTAAGATGGTGTCTGCCAGGTTTCTCCAATGTAAAGTTAAACTGTTTTTCCCTTTCCATACTTTGCTCCTTTTTTAAAATAGACGTCATAGAGTAGTGATAGGTTCACAGCAGTGCTGAGCAGAAGCACAGAGATTTCCCGTATACCCTTTGCTCCCTCATGTGCATCGCCTCCCCCATCATCAACATCCCCTGTGTTGTTAGTGGCAGCCATACCAGTGGTAGAGGAAGTGGCATTTTCACCAGATTCATCAGATGGCATGATTACAACTGAAGTTTCACTTACTTGGCTTCCATTGCTTTTGGTCCATTTTCAAACTTGCTTCTTCAGCCTTGGTATTGAGTCTTGAGATTTCTGGTACTCTTTAGTTACCAAAGTAACTTAAGCAGAACTCTGAGGAGAACAGATGGAAGCAGAATGTAAAAATAAAATCTCATCCGATGAAATTTTCAAAACAAACGGAGAAAAACAGTTTCAGGTATACACTGGTCATTTCTAATTGAGTTATCCTATATTGATTTTTAAAAGAACTCCTTCAGTTAATTGCCCCATACTCATTTTTGAGCTTAAACAGCACATTAAATCTTTCCAAATCTTGTCTGCCCAGACCAGAAACAATGGTGCTCATTCAGCATCTACAAGTCTGTGTTTGTAGACTTGGAATGGGCAAAAGTTGATAGAATATATCTCTGAGCAAAAATAAAATACAAGATGATGCCCAATGAAGTTCCAAGTACAAGAGGATCTTAATAAGTGTTGTTGGTTGTCAAGATCTGTGGGCTAAGGAAAAAGAAAACCAAAATTTAGAATACTTAAGGCATTTAATGGTGGGAAATTTTCTAGTATATTTTTAAATGTCCAAAAAAACACTTTTTTAAAGTATGTCTTCTACTCTTAAAGATTTATTTCAAACTTCCCTTCAGTTTTCTCCAGCGACTACTAATTGTGCTCTTGCTGTCAACCCATTCTTAGTCCTTGTCATTACAGGTTCAGTGGCTGCAGAGGTGAAATGTTTTGACAAATATTGGACGTCATACGGTTTACACTGTGGATCAGCATGCAAGTTTTTTAGCTTCTTCAGATGGCTCTGTAATGGAGTTATATTTGGAAGTTTCCCAGTATGGTGCAAAAGCCTCAGAGAGAGAGGAAGTTTATAAACTGCTATTCTACGAGAAGAAAGGCCAGCTGCTCATCCTGCATGATTCCTCCTTGAGCTTTTGTATTTTCCAAGCTAGACCTTTCAAGCTTGCTGTTTATAAATTGATTTTCAGTTTGCTGAGTGACGACAAAGATTCGAATTGGCCGGCATATTTTCATTCAGTATGCAGAGAAGCCATTTAAAGACTGAGATAACATATCAAGGGAAAAAGACAAAACCTGACAATAAGGGAAGATGAGGGAAAAGGAGCATCCTTGACCGTGGTTCTGACAATTACAATGTTTTAACCTACTTACTTTACTGAAAAGAGGTTCTCATATCTCTGTTTGGTTTACCCAAAAATTTATAGGCTAAAAGAACTGTTGAAAAGTTTCCCTATCTGTAACATTTTTAACTTTCTGGGAAAGTTCCATAGAAAATTGCAATTTTTCCTCTTGCAGGAAATTAAAAATAATGCATGAAGATCTTTTAAAATATTTAGTCTGTTACTTCCAGACTTATTCTATGACCTAGTTATATATCAAAAAAATAGAAAAATTATATCAGATAATTACTAAGAGTTATTCCTTATTTAGCTAGAGCTGTCAGCATTGGGAGGCAAGAAAATTAATGGAAATAAAGATACTTCAGTATACTTCAGGTTATTTCTTTAAATATATTACAGAGTTTTCCATTTCATTGACAGTTGTAGTGACCTTTGCAAACCCTAAAATTGAATTGTGCCAGTTGTGCCTACACATTTGGAATGGTCCATAGGAAGGATAGCTCTTGGGTGATAAATTCTCTTTCCATTACCGTATGGAGTAATATCAAGTGCCATCTCCTATTAACTTTGTTCTCCTCATCAAAGAGTGCATTCTATTGTCTAACCTTAAATTTAGCTATTCATGGAAATGAAATATTTTTGTAGGTTAGTTAACGCAATTTACTATCTGCCAGGCGTTACTCTAAGCATCTCACAAATATTAAGTCATTTGGTTCTCACAACAGCCCTAGAGAAGAGGTTCTGTAATTATTCTCATTTTACAGATGTGGAAACTGAGGCAAAGAGAAGGAAAGTAATTTGTCCCCATTTACACAGCAGGTGGCAGAGAAAGGATTTGATTTCCAGAATGTGCACTTTTTTTTTTTTTTTGCGGTATGCGGGCCTCTCACTGCTGTGGCCTCTCCCATTGCGGAGCACGGGCTCCGGACGCTCAGCGGCCATGGCTCATGGGCCCAGCCACTCCGCGGCATGTGGGATCCTCCTGGACCGGGGCACGAACCCGTGTGCCCTGCATTGGCAGGCGGACTCTCAACCACTGCGCCACCAGGGAAGCCCCAGAATGTGCACTCTTGACCACTATACTTCATTGACTCCAATTTAAAAAAATTAGCCTCCTGACAGTTTTATTCAATCTTCATGTGTTTTAAATATAGTGCCAAGTTTTTGTCCAAGAATATTATTTTATTATGTTTTAATCTCAAATTGCCTCTGTAACCGATGCACAGTTTTGTGACATGGCATCTTAGTGGGGGGCACAATATAACAAAGCCAATGTCCAATCCTAGGGCTTTGCTGTTAAAGCCAAGGACCAATGTGTCATCTAGGATTGCTTGGGGCTGTGAGTGACAAAGAGCCAAAAATGACAGTGGATTAAATAAGATGCTTATTTCTCACTCATGAAAAATGACTGGCAGTCCAGCTCTGGTGGTACGATGGCTTCACAGAATCATCAGGGCTCCTTCTAGTTTGCTGACTTGCTTTCCTCGGCACATGACTTCTACTTCATGGTCTAGGATGTGGCTCAGGTTCCAGTCATCACAGGCAAAAATACTGAAAAAAATGGCCCAAAACGGGCATTTCCTAGCAGCTCTACAGTCCACTTCTGCTTGTGTCCTTTTGTCCATATATTAGTCACATGGACACATCTAGCTTCAAGGGACGCTGGGAAATGTAGTATTTATTTATACAGCCTTGTGCCCAGCTGAAATTGAAGGTTCTATTACAGGGGAGAAAGGGTGAGTGGAGAGCAAGTGTTAAGAGACATCTAGTGTTTCTGTCACATCCAGGGCATAACTTGAATTTCCATTTGTAACTTAAGAAATGGTGAATTCTACAAACTTCTCTAGTAACTAAATTTCATTACCTTAGCAATCTCTCCTCTTACATGCAATTGTTTCCCCTGGTTACATCTCTAACATCCTAAGTCTTAAACCCTTGTACAGTTGAAAGATAATCCAAGGCACAAACCCTCACTGCCATTACTCTCATTTTCCCTCCCAAAGACTACTAGACTCCTGTTATTTTTCCTGCCAGTTTTTTTTTCTATGTGTTTTTTTCGTTTTTTTTTTCATTTTCACCAAGAACTTTATTGAACAATGTATTCACCATTTTTCCCACTATTTTCTGCCATTTTTCAGGCAACTTCATAATTCCATCTTCCCATGAGCAAAGAACTGTTCCAGGTGCCTTTTACAGTCTTCCAGGGAATTGAAATTTTTTCCATTAGGAGAATTTTGTAAATGAGGAAAACTTTCATCTTCCTTTTCAGTGTTTTCTGCCTTTGCTTTTTACCTGAAGCTAACATTGCCTTGGCACCAAAACATCCCTTAAAGAACTTTCCAATGAAGGACCGTTCCTTCTTCTCTTCCCACTAACTCACAGAGAGAAGGGAAGTCAGCATATTCCTTCTTTGCATTTAGTCCTTTTGTCCTATCAGATGGCTATCTGCTATACCATCGGTTCCCAGTCCACCCGAGCCCATTGCTGGGCACTGCTCCCCACCCCGCCCCCCCAGGGAGCCTCCCACCTTCCTCAGTGACTCCCTTTCCTGCTCTCCACTCCACATCCTGCCTGGAGTGTCCCTTTGCTTGTCATGGGATTTCAGATATTGAGGCCATGGCAAAGGTGTTAAACTAGGAAGGTGCTGGGAAATGATGCAGTTTGGAGAAGAGACGTGACTTATCTTGAGAGATATGCATTTTTTAAACTAGTCTTGAAAAGTTGCCTGCTCAACCCTGTAAACCTGTAAAAACTTCATTTTGTTCTTAAACAGAAGGACAGGACTTAGTTTTGTGAAGACTAAAACTGTTTCCCTCAGAAACTTTGCTGCTTGATACCATTTCACTAAGAACGGAACAGCCTACTCTTACGTGAATTATCTGAGTCTCAGATGCATAGAAGCAGTCCTGCAGATTCCAGAGAAGGGATTTCCAGACAAGGCATTCCTTATTTACCTTAACATTGTATCTTCCAAAGAAACATAGCCCTAAATCTACTTTGTAGCCCAGGACTGGTATTTACACACAGATCTGCTTTACCTTGAGCCAAACATTGCTTAATAAAATTATCTAAACTTCTCACTTCCCTACCCCCATGCCCAAATTCTATAATAACCTTATCTAGTTTTTTGTTTGGGGAGAGGCATTCTAGGTTTTTCTTAGAGTGTCCTCCCTTATGGCAAGAAGCCAATAATCCTTAATTTTTAAAACTACAGGTTGGTCTCAGGAGTTATTTATGAGACAGGCTGTTATAAGCCCTACCATGGTGCTAAAATCCTGAGGTCAATGAGATGTCGTAGATTTTGTGAGCTAATTTTACTTAGCCTAAGGCCCCGAGGGGTCAAAGCTAATAATCTGGCAAGTCCCAGTGTGAGTAGATGTTTCCAGGCAAGAACTGTAAATACAGAGGAAGGAGAGTGCAGTGATAAATACTTAGAGTTTGGATACACAGATATGGATTTTTGTCTTGGCTCCAGCTATTGAAATTCTGTGCCCTTGGTTGTTACTTAATCTCTTAAACAGTGTTTTTCTTCTCTATAAAAGTGGGAAATAAGAACACTTACAGCATTGTTATAAGGATACAATGCAACTGATTTACTGTAGGCTCGGCACATGATACATGCAATGAGTGACAGCTGTTGTGTTTGTACAGCGCACTTCATTTATAGTCAAAGAGGAATGGACTCAATCTCTACATTTCTATTTATAGCTTTAAAAAACCTTAGGCAATTTATCTCACTTTGCCCTGTATGCAAAATGGGAATAAGAATACAAATCTGACACTAGTGTGTTATTAAGTGTGATGACACAATAAACATACCCAATATAGTATCTGGTAAGCAGTAAGCATTGTATTAATGTTAGCTGTCTTTTTTCTGCCTACCCTTGGTTTTTAGCTGTGCTTTGAGAAATATGATAATTGAAAAGAGTACAATTGAAGAGGATAATATTTCAGTTGACATGCATGTTA